TGCCTGTGTCTTGGGAGGTGGTTGGTGTCATTCCTCCCTTTTCTCCTCAGAGTTGACCACATGTGGACACACAATTGGATGGAAGGAACAAGTTCCAGTGTTCAATACCATAGTTGTTAACATGAACATAATGTATTATGTATATTTAAATAACTAGAGGAGAAGATGTGAAATGGTCCCAACAAAATTAATGATAAATACTAAAGGTGACATACATCACAGATATTCTTAATTGATCAGTAAATATCTTATGCATGTAACAAAATAGCATATGTACTCTATGAATATGTACAGATATTATGTGTCAATTAAAAATTTTAAAATATATACAATAATAAAATACAAAAAAATGTGGATTAATTGACAGAAAAGTCAGACGGCAGGTCTTACAAAGCTGAGGGAAGTTCATGGATTCAGGAGTTGCTCTCCCCTGAGTACCCTGAAGATGAGCCATTTTCTTGCCTTTGTGTGTCTTAACGTTGGCCTTCATTCATTCCCTCTGCCAGAGCCCCTAGTTCCCAATTTCAATGCATTATATTTTGTGAACTTACACTTTGTGATTGTGTAAGTGGAAAATCACTTCTCTTCTTTCATTTTCATGACAAAAAAAGCTCAACATCACTGATCATTAGAGAAATTCAAATTAAAACACAATGAGATACCATCTGGCACCAATCAGAATGCTATTAATAAAAAGTCAAAAATAAACGCCAGTGAGGTTGAGGAGAAAAGGGAACAATTGCACACTGTTGGTGGGAATGTAAATTAGTTCAACCATTGTGGAAAGCAGTGTGGCAATTCCTCAAAGAGCTAAAAGCAGAGCTACCATTCAACTAAGGAATTCCATTCCTGGGAATATACCCAGAGGAATATAAATCATTCTACCATAGAGACACATGCATGCGAATGCTCATCACAGTACTATTCACAATAGTAGAGACATGGAATCAACCTAAATGTCCATCAATGACAAACTGGATGAAGAAAATGTGGCACATATGCACCATGGAATACTATGCAGTCATAGAAAAGAATGAGATTATGTCTTTTGTGCGAACATGGATGGAGCTGGTGACTATTATCCTAGCCAATTAATACAGGAACAGAAAACCAAATACTGCATGTTCTCACTTATAAATGGGAGATAAAAGACTAGAACTTCCAAACACAAAGAAGGAAACAATAGACACTTGGGTCTACTTCAGGTTGGGAAGATGGAGAGGAGCGGAAAATATAACTCTTGGGTGCTGGGCTTAATAACTGAGTGATGATATAATATATACCACAAAACCCTATGCATGACATGTGTTTACCTACATAGCAAACCTTCACATGTATTACCAAACCTAAAATAAAGGTTAAAAATGAAAATTTAATTAGCTATAAATCATGTTGGAAAAAAATAGTACAAATTCTTTCTAAGGTGACTGGAAAACAATATAAGTGTAGAAATCTCACTGACAATTGAGTATATGGGTCTAGATTTAATGATAAATGCCATGGGTGGAGGTATAAATTGTGATTTGTATTGCATATCTGGTAATGAGAGCATGGGAATGAAGAAAATGTTTGTTTGATAGAGTCATCTGCAACTATTTGATACCTGTGTCAGGAAGATATAAGGTTATATCTCACTACTTGCTCAATTATATTCATACTTAGTAGACTGAGGTAGCGCTTAGGTAGTGGGAAAAAACCTAGTGGCATATTTTGAGGGCACTTGAAACCAGCCAACACAGGAGTATCTTACTGCCAGAAGTAACCAATGCCCTGCCAAAGGGGGTTGAGGTAGGGAGGTCAGAACACATGGCTGTGTGCATATTGATCAAGTTATACTTTGTCACTTCAGAACATTGGGTGTCCCTAGACACATGACACTTACTTTTGAGTGAGATGGCACCATGAAAGAATGAAAATAATGTTAGTTTTGGAATTTAAATTCCCACAGCCATTATACCTGCAAGTAACTAGTATTTGCTCTACAACTATTGGCACCAACTGAAAGAGTCATTATACCTAGTAAAAAAAAGAGTGAAAAGAGAGTCACCTCTACTACAATCCTGGACACTTGTCCTAGGTGCAGGGCTTCCAGAAGTGAAAACTATTGTGTTCCTGATGTAAAAGGGAAACATGATGAAAAATCTTCAGAGAGTGTGAGGACCAAGATTCACGCAACTACACATGTAGCCAGGCCTGTAGCATCTACAAGATTTTCAGTGGCCTCCTCCATCTTTATAACAATGGTCCTAGTGATGTTCTTAGGCCTCCCTGCAACATTAATAGCTGTGAACCACCAAAGAGCCAAGATCTGATCAGTAGGAGAATCTTAATGCTTCAGAGACAATGAGGAGACTTTCTTTCCTCCAGTCTAATGAACAGAAATGTCTTTGTACTTACTGGGAGCAGCTGGATGGAGCCAGTTCCAGAAGGCTAAGGCCACTGCTTTCCTCCTTGAGGTGCTGTAGCAAATCTTTAATCTCTTCAGCACAGAGGACCCCTTGGCTGCTCTGAATGAGACATTTGGTTGAAATTCCTCCTTGCACATCAGCAGTAGCAGAAAGACCTGAAGACCTGTTGACATCTGGAGAAAAAAGGAGAAGAAATCTCTGAGCTAAATGAATATTTCTTACTGGCTGTGAAGAGGTACTTTAATGGAACCAGTCTCTATCTAAAAGAAAAGGAATACAATAAGGCTGGGTGCAGTTGCTCAGTCACACTCAGTGTCTGTAATCCCAGCACTTTGGGGGGCTGAGGCAGACAGATCATTTGAGATCAGGAGTTCAAGACCAGCCTGACAAACATAGTGAAATCCTGTCTCCACTAAAAATACCAATAAAAGCCAGGTGTAGTGGTGCACACCTGAGGTCCTAGCTACTTGGGAGGCTGAGGCAGAACAGCTTGAACCTGGGAGGTAGAAGTTTCAGTGAGCTGAGATCCCACCACTGCACTCCAGTCTGGGTGACAGAGCGAGACTCCATCAGAAAAGGAAAAGGAAAAGGAAAGAAAAGAATACAATTACTGTGCCTAAGTTGTTGTCAGAGTGAAATAGAGGAGCCAGTTATCTTTATCATAAATATGTTAAGAAAAGCCAAAATCTAGATGACCTTGTGTTTGGCAATGACTTTAGATAAAACAACAAAGACATAATCCATGATCTATTAGAGAAAAAAATAACAAACTGGATTTCATTAAAATTAAAAACTACTTTTCAAAAGACTCTCAAGTGAATATGAAAAGCCACATATTGGGAGAAATATATTTTCAAAGACATGTCTAATAAATGGCTGCTATCTCAAATACACAGAGTGGTACGTATATACAATGCAGTACTATTAAGCCATAAAAAAGAATGAGATCCTGTTATTTGCAACAACAGATTCTGTATATCAAGGCAATTTTCACAGTATATATTGGTAAAACTTTTTGCTCAACTTTAAAGTTACAAGAAAACTTGAGGCAAAAATAAATGAACTATAATTCTGTCCATTTGTTAAAACCCATGGCACTATGGACCAAAAGGTGTGAATTTTCCTGTATGTAAATTTTAAAAACTCAACCACATTGGCAGTAGGAACCAAAATCAAATATAGATATGACAAATTAATATAATTGATGTATGACATAACCACTCTGAAAGTGAGAAATACTCTGTTTATCCTTAGATACTCTAATGCTAAACCCAAAAGGGTTGTACACAAACATTGTATGCTAGTTAGTAGAACTGTTTCTCACAGAAGTTCTGGTTAATTGTTCTGAAACATTATGTGTATTATTAGACGAGTAAAAAGGTAAACATAGTGTGAATAATAAAAACCAGGGAGGGGAACATGACACACTGGGGTCTGTTGGGCGGAGGGGGTCTAGAGGAGGGATAGCAGGGGCTGGGGAGGTTGGGGAGGAATAACATTGGGAGAAATGCCTGATGTAGGTGACGGGGGTATGGAGACAGAAAACCACCATGGCATGTGTGTGCCTATGCAACGATCCTGCAAGACCTGCACATGTACCCCAGGACTTAAAGTACAATTAAAAAAAAAAAAAGATCAGCACTGCAAATGTATGGCAAATAGACTCTGTGATTGGAGAACTTTCCAAGGTTTACTAGATGTTAAAGCCATATCACGAGAGGTGTCCACTGCATACAATGTGTTGTCATTTGCCGTATTGTAGGATGTTACTCATGTTTGATCCTTAGCACTTCTGAATGTGTTGTGGGCTTTGAGAATCAAATAAGAATACTTCATATTATATTATTTAATTATACTAATGTTGTTCAACATATCATTAATTGTTTCAGCACTGAAAAGAGAACAATCTTGATAATATCTGGATGAATATCTAGCACCTAGTGAAGTTAAAATTTCCCCCTATGAAGCAAAAAGTTAAGTGCACTAACAGTTAATATTAAAAAATAATTTAAACAGTCTTTAGCAGTTTTGAATGACTTTTAAGTATTTTATTAGGTATTATTATGTATTTTTATAACTTGTTAATTTGGTTGTGTAATTTGACACATTACAATTTATGTAAGTTGAATACATTATATAAAATTCACTTTAAAAATTTAGCTAAGAAGTGAAGTTAAATATCCATGGACTTTAAATTTAACTAACTTTTAGCTTAAAATGTTTGTTTGGTCATTCTTAACCATCCATTGAATAAAAACATTAAACTTTATACTGCTTATATATAAACATGTGTATATAGAACATCAGCAGATATATAATATATCCATGTTATTAAATATTAGCAGGGCTTTGAATTACAGAGAAATTTCTAAAAAGACTATGGGGAAGGAGACGAGGAGGTAATAATGAAAAAAGAAAGTGGTTGAGGAAAGCAAAAATAGAAATAGAAAGTAAGAGAGGAGTATTCAGAAAATGGAAATTCGTGTGTTCCCTATTTAAGGCTATACACAAAGTAAGGTCTTCAGAGACTCTAAAGTCCAAGGTTCAGAGTTGCTCATCTCAACCAGCCCAGTAGCCTCTGAAACATCCTCAATGGCCTTGCCCTTTACTTTACTGATGGCCCTAGTGGTGCTTAGCTGCAAGTCCATCTGCTCTCTGGGCTGTGATCTACCTAAGGCCCACAGCCTGAGTAGCAGGAGGGCCTTGATACTCCTGGCACAAATGAGGAGAATCTCTCCTTTCTCTTGCCTGAAGGACAGACAGGACTTTGTTTTCCCTCAAGAGGTGTTTGATGGTGACCACTTCCAGAAGGCTCAAGCTATCTTCGTCCTTCATGAGATGATCCAGCAGACCTTCAACCTCTTTAGCACAAAGGACTCATCTGCTACTTGGGATGCAATCCTTTTAGATAAATTTTACACTGAACTTTACGAGCAGCTGAATGACTTGGAAGCCTGTGTGATGCAGAGGACTGGAGTGGAAGAGACGCCCCTGATGAATGCGGACTCCATCCTGGCTGTGAGGAAATACTTTCAAAGAATCACTCTCTATCTGACAGAGAAGAAACACAGCCCTTGTGCCTGGGAGGTTGTCAGAGCAGAAATCATGAGATCCTTCTCTTTATTGACCAACTTGCAAGGAAGATTAAGAAGGAAGGAATGAAAACTGGTTCAACATAGAAATTATTACCATTTCATGACTAATACATCATCTCATACTTTCATGAATTCTGCCATTTCTCATGTTTACTACATCCATGACATGAGTTGATCAAAATTTTCAAATGTTTTCAGCAGTGTTAAGCATGTTCAACTCTGCAGGCACCAGTCCCTTACAGATGACCATGCGATGGATCTATTTATCTAAATATTTATTTAACTATTTATAATATTTAAAATTTTCTTTTCATATATTGTGTATTCTTACTTCGTGGTTAATATAACCATATATGTTCTTTGTATTTAGCCAATATATTATTTTGCTTTTTTCATTAAATTTTTACTATGGAAAACTCCTTGTATTTGTTTATTCTTTAAAATGAAACTCCAAGCCTGATTATTCAACCTGATTTAAAAATAGATGATACAATTCAGTTACCTATTTTTAGTTATAAGTCAAAATAGATTTTGCTATACCAGGTTGTACGTTGTATGTTGTCCTCAGGATATAAAAGTGAACAAAACAGCCTGGGCGTGGTCTTTCACGCCTATAATCCCAGCACTTTGGGAGGCCAAGGCAGGCAGATCACCTGAGGGTGGGAGTTCGAGACCAGCCTGACAACATGGAGAAACCCTATCTTTACTAAAAATACAAAATGAGCCATGCGTGGTGGCACATGCCTGTAATCCCAGCTACTTGGGAGGCTGAGGCAGGAGAATCGCTTGAACCCAGAAGGCGGAGGTTGTAGTGAGCTGAGATCATTCATTGCACTCCAGCCTGGGTCACAAGAGCAAAACTCCATCTCAAATAAATAAATAAATAAATAAGTAAACAAAACAAATACATTTCCTGCTCTCTCTTGTATTTTTGATTTTTTTCAGGAAAGAAACTTAACAACAATAATCACACTAAATTCATATCAGTTATGTTAAATGCTATAATGTGAGATAGAAAAAATAACATTGAATTCTTCCCAGCAGAGGGTAGATTTAGGCAGGTCCAGAAATAAAAGCAGTGATATCTTCTATAAATTGACTTTTAAACATGTAATTGCAAATGTTGATTTCCAGTCTGAGTTTGCAATTTTCAAGAACTACAATGCCTGGAATTTCATAACTGGCAATGAAAATCCCAAAATTAGAGGCAGTCATATGCGGACAGAGCGTAGAGGAAAAAAGAGCTTAAACTTGATTCCGAGGACCTTCCACCTTTAAAGGGAGGGGATATAAGAGACACAAAGGAAGGTAAGGTGAAAAACTTAACATTAGTGAAGGAAAAAATAGAATGGTGACACACGTGTGTTTTGAAAATAAATGTGTTTAGAAGAACAATCAACAGACTTAGCAGAAATATTGATTAGCATTGTCCACTACATCAGGAAAATAGGTGGCAGTGGAGATCTTAGTGAGAGCTGGATTAGAATTAATCAGTACAAACTGTATCGCAGTAGGTGGAAGAGCAAATCAAAGAAGAGAAACCTGTGACAAGGTAGATAAGAAATAGTTGTGAGAGGTTTGCCTTTAAAATAAAGGGAAGAAATAAGGTTAGACTTGAAAAAAACATGTGGATTATCTTTTACCGGCATAGTTTATCCATTTGAAAATATATATGTCTGCAGATTGACTTCATGCGTTGACAAGCTGTGTTAATATGCTTAATATTTTACAATATTAAATTATAACATATAAAGTTATAATAATTATTATTTTGATTAATACTATGTTAAATGTCAGTAAAACCTGAGAAACTTCCTTCATGAAATAAAATGGAAAACTGGATGAAAGACTCTCCTTCTCAATGCTTTAAGGTAACAAAAAAAGATTGATCAAAACCAGCTGAAAATACAACATGAAGCAGGGATATCCAGAGAGCAGGAGAGAGTTGTGTATAATCCAGATGTCAAAAGCGAGGTAAAATTATTACAAAAATCCCCAATACAAAGCTTACGCATTAGTTGTAAATAACAACAAAAAGTTTTACATTGAAATTCCACTCTGTTTGCATGTATGTGTGATGTTGAAAAAAATCCACTTAATATCTCGGAACCTCAGTTTTCTTATAAATAGAAAGGATTAAAATGTTTATATAGTTGTTGTGATTCTTAAATGAACACATGCAGTTTAAAGCAGTTTGCATAGTATCCTCTATAGAGTAAGGATTTAACATAGGGCAAGTATTTTCCTTTTTTCCTTCACACAGTTGTAGATGAGAATATCATCTTTCTACAAAGTTCACAAGAACTGTGTCCTACTGTTCAGTAACTAACCTTCAAGAGATACAGCCTAAAGAAAAAACAGAATTCTGTCATGAATTCTTGAGAGCCTGAAAATTTGTCTCACCTCTTATCAAAGTCCTATATTCAGCCAGAGAAACAGCATCTAGATTGAAGTGCAGAATACACGTGATGATGGTTAACTGATTCCGGCACCTGGCACATTCCTTTCCTGGCTCTCAGAATTCCAGAACACACTCCCATATGAAGTTAGTCTCCTAAACTTCAGTAAAATAAACATCTTTGCTGGTCCTGAGACCTGGCACACTTTTCCCCTTTCTTCCCTGCTTTTCTGGATCCCATTTTTCACTCCCATATCACATTAGTTTCCTTCCTCTTCCTTGAGAAATTCCCACTGTGCTCTCCTCTTCACTTATCATTAGCCTGCACTGTTTCTTCACACAGCTGTTTTCAGTTCTCTTGTGGGTTTTGTCAATCACTTTCCCCTTAAAAGTACAAAACCACAAATTAAAGCAGAAGTTCAGTGACAGTTCTAGGTTTTTCAGAAGCTCTTTTTTAAATTACTCTTTTTCTTTTCTTATGATGAATATTTCCGAAAAAGAGGGAATGACCCTGTTACAATGACATAACAGTAGCTTAGCAAAAGAGGAAATAAAAGGCAGGTTTCCTTTTGCAACTATTACAACATTTACAGGGGAAGAGAGCCACCAACTGGCCAAAATGCACCAAGACAGCAGCCAAGTCTGCGGCGAGCAGGCTGTTACATCAGAAGTAGGCCTCCTGGCAGATTTATCTTCCTAGCTAAAAAGAGGCTCTTCCCAAGAAATAACCGACCCTGGTACTGGAATTAGCCCATTTCCTTAACTTTTGTATCTTAGAAACTATTCCCAGCTTCAGGCAGGACATGTTCTCTTGGGGAAATGGACAGCTATGGGGAAAAAGAAAAGGTCTGGATGTGTCCCTTTCCTCCAGCCTCCCAGGCTCCCAGGGTCTCCTAACTTATCCCTTCCTCTGTGTATTGCACTAGACTAGGAAATAGAACAACCTGCCAATCTGGATGTAGAACTCCAAGGGAATTTGACTTTCGATCTCTCTATCAAGGTTGTGAAAATTTTCATGGACAATATCCTGAAATACATTTTCCAAGCTGTTTGCTTTCTCTCTGTCTCTTTTCAGGATGCAAATGATTCATAGATTTGGCCTTTTTATACAATCCCCTATTTTTAAGAGATTTTGTTTATTGCTTTTCATTCTTTTTTCTTTATTTTTGTCTGACTATCTTATTTCAGAGAGCCAGTCCTGAGAGTCTTTCCTTCTCTTAGTCTACTCTGCTGTTAATACTTGTGATTGCATTGTGAAAATCTTGTAGTGTGTTTTTCAGATCTATCGGGTCTGTTAGGTTCTCTTTCATGATGGCTATTTTGTCTGTTAGCTTCTGTATCCTTTGATTGTGATTCTTGGGATATATGTACAGTTGACCCTTGAACAGTGTGGGTTTGAACTGCATGGGTCCACTTATACATGGGCTTCCGCCCCCCACCCATACAGAGAAACTACAATATCTGCAGGATCTGAAACTAAAAAAAAACAAGGGGATTACAGGACTTGAGTATGCACAGATTTGGGTATCTGGAGAACAGGTGTGGAATCTTAGAACCAAAATCCTACAGATACCAAGGGAAACAGTAATTCCAGAATCTTATTGGCATCTGGGAATATGGGTCTAGAATGAACAAATGTCATGGGCAAAGGAATTAATTTGGGATTCTTTATTGCATGTCTGGTATTGAGGGCATGAGAATGGATGTTAGGGAATCCATCACCTAACGTAATTATAAATAGAGGGGACAATGAGACAGGATCTAAACTTAGTCCTGCAGATTCTCAACAGTCAAAGGTAGGGCAGAGAAGGAGAGTCTGTGAAGGGCAAAGAGCACTGAGGAGGAGTGGTCAGTGCAGTTGTAAGGAGAAATCAGAAAGAATGAGAGAGGGGCAAATGAGTGTTAGACAGTGGTGTTTTCAGAGAAGATGAAGGCTGACCTGTCCTAATGGACTCAAAAACAGATGCCATCAGTGACCTTAGGTGGATCTGGTTTAGTAGAATGAATGGGACAGAAACTTGATGGGAGTAGGTTGAAGAGGAAATACAATCAAGGCATTTGAGTGTACTATGCATAAAAAATTATCTTGGGAAGCTTGTTTGTGGAGTTAGGAAATAAGATGATACCTGGAAGAGAATGTGGATTAACATCTTCATGCATATTTTGTTAATGTTTTCTGAAAATCATTTTCAAGGAATAGATGAATTGGAACAAAATCTTTAAATATTTTTTGTTGATATATGGTTGACAAATTAAAATTCAATAATATTCCAGGATGTGTTTAATGGAATATATATATGGCTGAATGATATTCCATTATATGTATATATATCATATTTTGTTTATTCATCTATCAATGGACACTGGGTTGCTTCCAACTTTTGGCTATTGTTACGAACATGGATGTAAAAATATATCCTTAAATCCTGCTTTTAAAAAGTATTCTGAATATATATACATAAGTGGAATTGCTAGATTATATGATGATTCTGTTTTTAATTTTTTGAAATACATCATGTTGTTTTCCATTGATGCTGTGCTGTACCATTTTATATTTCCACCAAAAGTGCACAAGCATTCTAGTTTCTTCACATCTTCATCAACACGTGTTGTTTTATTTATTTTGTTGGTAGCCACCCTGATAGATGTGAAGTGAAATCTCATTGTGACTTCGATTTGCATTTCCCTAATAGGGATGTTAAGCATCTTTTCATATGTGCCTTAGTTCATTCAGGCTGCTATGATGAAATATCATTAACTAGGTAGTTTATAAATGACATAAATTTATTTCTCATAGTTCTGGAGGCTGGAAAGTCCAAGAATCAAGGTACCAGCAGATTTGGTGTGTGGCTGGGGCCCATGTCCTATTTCACAATGAGCCACAATGGAATTAATTACAACCCAAAAAGGTCCATGTCCTAACACCATCTCCCTAAGAGTTAGGTTTCAACGTATGAATTTTGGTGGGACACAAACATTCAGGCCATAGAAATATGCTTGTTGGCTAT